TACCTCTTGACATACAGGCGAAATTTGTATTTTAGAATGCGGACTGTAATCAGAATATTTCTCGTTGAAAATTTATTATCGCCTTTAATTACGATATCCAGCAGTTTCTATTGGCCACAGTATCCATTATCATCAAGTGGACTTTGTGCTCATTTATCACTCTTTTTCTATAAAAAATATACGTGGTTGGGCCATGCTGTAACTGTATTATGACGTAGATGGTTGCATATGCTCGACCGGGGAAGAATAGCAGCTTGCAATAGCAGCCTAATAATAATTACGTATGGTGAGTGACAAAAACCGAGGCTCTTTCTATTGGTAAGGAGTTTATTGCCCAATAAAACGTTATCATGTACTCCAAATAACCTGTCCCACAAAAGCGGGATAACATATGAACGAATCTATCTATAAAACGATACAAAAATATTCTTACACATGTACTTACATATATTTGTAATCTATCTCTAAATAATGGAGTATTTCCTCATGAACTCAAACGTTCAATGATTCACCCTATTTATAAGAGTGGTAATACGGACTGTGTTGATAATTATCAGCACATTTCTGTACTGCCAGCATTTTCGAAAATTTTGGAAAAATGTAAATAATAGACTAGTCAGGTATCTTGAATCCAAAAATCTCCTGTCACATGCACAATTTGGTTTCAGAAATGGCAAAGCTACAAGTGATGCAGTTCATGAGTTTTTGGGTTATACTGTTAAACATATGGATGACAACAAAAAAGTAATAGCAGTACTTCTTGATCTAGCTAGGGCGTTTGACACGGTCTCTATTCCGTTTCTCATGGCGTACCACAAGGTAGTATTTTAGGTCCTACCCTGTTTTTGACCTATATAAACAACATGTGCCAGTTAAAATTGATAAATGGAACTCTTGTTTCTTATGCCGATGATACTGCGCATTTATTCAGCGGTGATACATGGGACGAAGCATAATGTAAAAGCCTCAATGTATATATGAACTGGCTAACACATAATAAATTAATGCTAAATGTCTCTAAAACTAAAAGTATGTCATTCAAATTTAAAAAAACTTAACACATCTATTTCAACTAATTTCCATATAAAAGCACATATCTGTCATAATTATAATAATGTTATTGACTGTTCTTGTCCTTCGCTCCAAAAAGTAAATGAAATAAAGTATTTAGGTATAATAATTGACAGCAATCTGAATTTTCAAGCACACATTAATCTTCTAACTAATAGGTTGCGCAAGTTGATCTATATTTTTAAAAATCTCCGACATGTGGCAGACGAAACAATAATAAAATAAACTTACTTCTCACTTTGCCAATCATTGATTACCTATTGCATAACAGCTTGGGGTAGTACCTCTAAATCACATCTACTCAAATTAAAACGTGCCCAAAGAGCACTTCTTAAGGTGAGTCATTTCTTTCCGTTTCCCTACACCACTAAAGACCTATACCAAAGCTGTAAAGTTCTCACGGTCCGCCAATTATTTATCCTCCACACTATTTTAAAACAACATTCTCTGTTATATTACAATCCTTCTCTTCTTACAAATAAAAGAAATAAAAGTAAAATTTGTCCCATTTTACCATACAAAAGAAGCTTTACACATAATTTCTTCTGCTTCTCGGGTTCTCATCTATATAATAAAATTAATTCCATTCTATCTATATACAAATTTCCCAAATTTAAATGCAAAAAAGATGGTAACCCTATGGTTACCAAGTCAAGATTATGAAACGACTGAGGAACTACTTAAAATCATGAAATAAAACCTAAACACACACATACACACACACACACACACACACACAAACATTTTTCGTATTTTTTGTATATCTTTTTCTTCTCTTGTTTATCATACACCTAATATTATAGGGTCTGAAGGTGGGGGCTGGTGATCTGTCATACAGGGAATCCTAGTACGGACACCAGTCTCTCACAAATTAATTGTAACATATTAATATTTAGCTGTATGTTTATATTCATTACTAAATTTGTGAGAGGAAAGAATAAACTTATTATTATTATAGGGGTATCTGTATAGTTTTCTCATCTGGTTGGTTTCTATAAATATATAATTATAAATTAAAATAAAAAGATAAATATACATAAATATCAATAAAATAAAATAAATACAAAAAATACACAAATAAATAAAGATCCAACCAGATGGAAGCCCTCGGCAGAGGAGACCAAACGGCCGAGGGTTGGGAGGAAAGGGAAATAAAACGACGGACGATGCGGGCGATATCGAGGACCACTGCCTTCTGCATTTGAGCCCGGAGCGGTCCGTCACGGAATCCCAGTCGCCTCAGATGACCCGAGAGGCTGACTGGGATTAGCCCGTTCGCAGAGACGACTACAGGAATAATTTAAATTTTATTATTATGTGGGGTATCTATATAGTTTTCTCATCTGGTTGGGATGTATAAATATATAATTATAAACGAAAATGAAAAGATAAATATACATAAATATCAATAAAATAAAATAAATAAAAAAAAATACATAAATAAATAAAAGCCCAACCAGATGGAAGCCCTCGGCAGGGGAGACCAAACGGCCGAGGGTTAGGGGGAAAGGGAAAGAAACCGGCGGACGATGCGGGCGGTATCGAGGAGCACCGCCTTCTGCATTTGAGCCTGGAGCGGTCCGCCACGTAGTCCCAGCCGCCTCAGATGACCCGAGAGGCTGACTGGGATTAGCCCGTTTGCAGAGACGACTACAGGAATAATTTCGGTCGGCAGACCACCCCACATGTCGGTCACCTCGTGAGCCAGGTCCAGATATTTTGTTTGCTTATCTGTTTCGGCTTTCACGAGGTTCTCGTCACACGGAATGGTAATGTTGACCAAAAATATCCTTGACTGTGCCCGGTCCATCAGCACAATATCAGGCTTATTCGCAAGAATAGTCCTGTCTGTGATGATGGCTCGGTCCCAATAGAGCCTGGCGCGATCATTTTCGAGCACAGCTTCCGGTAAGTACTTGTAATACGGCAACTTCCGATCCACGAAACCGTATTTCAGAGCGAGCTCCTGATGTAGAATTCTGGCTACTAGGTTGTGCCTGTGCAAGTACTCAGAGTTAGAAAGCGCCGAACAACCGGAGATGACATGCCTAAGTGACTCGCCGGAATGGCGACAAGCTCGACAGATGTCGATGGTGCCATCCTTTAGGATGTATCTCCGATAGTTGTTGGTCTTAATAACCTGATCCTGTATTGCACAGACAAAACCCTCGGTTTCCCCGAAGAGGTCACCTTAGCGTAGCCAGTGGAGGGAGGTTACTGTGTCTACGAAAGGCCCATGTAGAGACTTGTAGAACCTCCCGTGGAGCTGCTTCTCCTTCCATACGGTCTCCCGGTCGGAAATTGTCTGCACTGCCGGGTCTTGCCATTGCTCGTTGGCTAAAGATAGAGGGGTAAGTCCTTTATCACAAGAAATGACGTCCTTATAGAATGGATCATCCGATCTCGCCAGGAAGTAATTACGGAGGCTGCACACTTCGCGATTATGCATGGTGAGCACGCTCAAGAAGCCACGCCCACCATGCTTTTGCGGCAAGTACAGCCTCATTACCAAAGATCTCGGATGATGCATCCTGTGGGACGTCATGGTAGTGCGGACTTTTCTATCCAGGGCGTTAAGTTCAGTCTGAGTCCACCTGAGTATGCCAAAGGTATACATGACGACAGGCATGACCCAGCCGTTATATGATTGTGTCTTATTCACACCGGACAAAAGGCTGTTAAGCACTTTGGTCAAGCGTGCATAAAACACGTCGCAAACTGACTGTTTCATACCAGCCTCATCGATACCGATGTTCTGTGACATACCCAGGTATCGGTATGTTTCAGCCTCGGAAAGGGTCCTTAAGTTGACGGGCATAGATAAGTCTATGCCCTCAGAGTTAGCAACCCTACCCCTCTCAACATGGAGTACCGCACACTTATCCGTCCCCAGCTCCATTCCAATGGAATTGCTAAATTCACTAGTGATGTTTAGCAATTCCATAAGATGGGAGCCACTGGAGGCGAATAACTTGAGGTCATCCATATAGAAAAGGTGGGTCACTTTTGTCCCTCCTTTCCGTAGCTGAAATCCCCTCCCGGAGCCCTCCAGTAAGGTACTGAGAGGGTTCAGAGAGAGGCAGAACCATATTGGACTCAGACAATCGCCCTGGAAGATACCCCTTCTTATCCTTATGTGGTTCTCCGCAGCCATCATCTGCTCGCCCAGATGACAAAGGATCGTATCTCACTGCCCCATACACTGCTCGAGGAAGTCTCTAACTGTACAGTCTATCTTGTACAGTTCGAGGACTCTCTTTAGCCATGTATGGGGCACCGAGTCGAATGCCTTTCTGTAGTCTATCCAGGCGGCGGAGAAGTTCCGACGGTTGCGTTTCACCACTTTGCCAATGACCGCGTCAATGAGGAGTGGTTCCTTGGTTCCACGACCGCCGCCCCGACATCCATTTTGAGCGCGCGACATCACCTGATTTGAGTCCAGGTGACGAGTGATTCTCGCGCTCAAAATGGATGTTAGTGTCTTGTATATGGTCGGTAGACATGTGATGGGGCGGTATTTGCTCGGGTCTGTGGTACCCTGGCCTTTAGGAACCAAATGGGTGATCCCAGTAGTGAAGAGGCTCGGGAGCGACTTCTGGTTGAGAACCTCTTTAAACTGTCGGGCGAGCACAGTGTGACACACCACGAACCCCTTCAGCCAGTAGTGATGCAGCCCGTCGAGTCCCGGACTTTTCCAGTTCGGGGCCCTACGGACTGCCTCAGCTACGTCATCCGGCGTTATGGTGACGGGGTCCATGGGCGTAATACCCGCACACTGACTCGCTACAACTTCCGTCCAAGGGCCCTCGTTGTGGTTTACGGGCTCTCACCACAGGCTGCGCCAGAATGCGACCGTGTCGGCCTGATTCGGTACTGGGCCCGTTCCACTTACCATTGGTCGCTCCAATGATTTATAGAGCCTCTTCTGATCACTCTGGAAGAGACGATTCTGGTTGAACCATGTCGATCTCTCGGTATATCGCCGAATTCGCTTTCCCCAAGCAGCGATTCTCTGCTTCAGGTCGTCTATGCGCTCCGTCAGTTTTTGCAAACAAACGAAACAAACTAACACTTGTCCCAGCAAACGCCATCCTGACGGTGCGCACAATCCTTGGCCTGGTATTGCCTGACCTGAAGCATATCAGTCTGCCGATGAGGGCCCTAGCCTTTGCGATACGTTCTTCAATTCTTGTTCTCCAGGTTGGGATAGCACTACTTTGTCCAGTAGTGCGTCCAGCCGTGGAAAGTTTGGCGCCTATAATACGGCAGACTGCCAGTGCGGCGCCAAAGAGAATTGAGTCCGTCTCGCAAAGGTCCCGGCTGGCTTCCAAATAGGTCACCAGCATTGGGTTCAGAGCCCTCACGACAGCCCGATTCCGCTTGCTTAGGGCTATGCGGGAAAGTCGCGGTCGATTTTCGGGAGGCGTACTGCGCGTTTCCATAATTGCCTCTTCCAATGTACTCCTCATTTGCTCTATTTCTAGTTCCTGGGTGAATGTTCCATCATCATTTGAATCAGCAACCACTGGGGTATTCTTGGCGGCATCCACGTGTGCGGGTTGTTCTGCAACTTGTTATTATTATTATTACTATTCAACGAATGCCAATTGTTGATGTCATTCTGTTCGCCGTGGTAATACTTTTAGTACCAGCAAAGAAGCTGACGTTGCAGTGAGGTCGGCTTATGGCGCATCGAGATGGCTATATTGTTGTTGTTGGTTTCCATACATCATTTATTTTAGAATATATATATATATATATATATATATATATATATATATATTGTATTTACTTCTAATGACTTCCAACACGACAGCGTTACAATTAATTAAAGTTTTAATTAGTTTAATCTCAAATTAAAACATTAATTTATCTTAAAAAAGAAAATTAAATTTTAAGCCTTAAAATAACATCGAGTGAAATGTAATTTACGGCCTTTTAAGTTTGCCAAATTATAAATTCAATATCAAAGAACGTAAGAAATTTTATTTTAAATCTCAATAAATTTAATTAAATCTCAACTTTTTTAATTGGCAATGCTAAAATCACAGAATACTATAATATATACACAAGCTAAAACCTATGTTATGTTTTTGTTGGGATGGAATATAACCAAAGTAACGCCTTCTATTTTAGCATTAATTAGTAGTGGTCGTGTAAGAATATCCACTATTGGGTAGCGGATATTCCACCGTGAATATTCTTAATAACGTCTCGTGGGTGTCATAACAGCCAACAGACTGACACAAACCAGGAGATGGGCAGCAGTGTCTTCCTAATAACATAATATACACAATAATAGCAACTAAGGCATTGCATTGTGATGCAATATATAGAAGGGCCCAGTGAACTTTTTATAGGCTGTTTCGCTTGTAATGTTTGCAGTAATATACGTTATTTAAAAATATATATATTAACAATGCTATAAACATTACTAATATTCCCCTTGACCACTCGTGGTAAGCTTAAATTGCCTGTGTTACGAGTGGTTCACGCCAGTAGTCGAATGGCGGATTCGAACCCACGACCTTTTTGAGTTTGCGCTCCGCGCCCCGCCAATAGGCTACTGTCGCTTCGAAATTCTTATTATGTTGTTGTATTATTTTTACACCTTACTAAAAAAAACATGATTCAGTTTGCTTACAATGTATACGTCTTCCAGCTTAAGCTACGATTAGAAGTGGCTCAAAACCTCTGGACGGTAACCGTAGTGATATACTTACTTAACATTATTTTTTACTTTTTATAAGCCAGTACTTGACCACAATCATACCTGTTGGTAACCCACAATCCAGGCTTAGATGGTAAATCGCGCTGTCTTAGCGTAACAAAAGCCTATTCACTCTTGCCTTGAAGACGCCCAGATTTTATTCGGACGGAATGATAGACGCCGGCAAATTATTCCACTCCTTCGCTGTACGCACCAAAAAAGTCGAAGCAAATCGTTTGGTTCTAATGCGTGAAATATCGACAAGAAAGGGCTTGATATGTGTTTTTTTTAATTTTTTGTAATAGAACCAACAGCATTTTGTAACATTATAAAATTAGTAAGTATTTAAATTTTCTACTGCCAATTGCAGGTTCTTACTTTACAAAAAAAAAAAAAACAAATCTTCTAACGTATCGCTATGATCGTGGTTTTATTTGTTTATTACATTGCTATATATGACAAAATATATAATAACTGTAAAAAATTTTGTTGAAATGGATTCAACATAAGACATATGATGAAACTGAGAAGCTTCTGGATCGTGTTATATGATTTGTACAGTTTCAGACACTCTAATCACACACACTCATTTTAACTCATGCAAACAAAGACACAAACACACACACGCACACACACGCCACACACACACACACACACACACACACACACACACACACACATACAAACGTATACATAAATAAATTAAGTTTCCCTCACATACCATATAGTATTTATAAGTAGACTGGTTCCTATCGTTTGATTGTCCTAATTTTAGAATGTAAGTAATATATAGATAACTTTAATATATGATATAGAATGTGTTTACCCATACTGCCATGTAACATGAATAGGTATAGTAATGGAAGGGCGGACCCTCCAAACACAGGCATTTTTTGCTTAAATGGAGGTTCCAATCTACTAGTTCTTAAGGCATGTAATTTTTAAAACGAAATAAAAATTTATTTATTATTTATTTGTCGCTACAACTGTGTGGAAATAATATTATACAGGGTTATTCTTAGAGTAGTCATTACGCCATTACGCATTTTACAAAATGTAGTGCATATATGTACATCTACTAGTATTTTGTTTTGTAAATATTTATTTGTGTGTGTGTGTGTGTGTGTGTGTGTGTGTGTGTGTGTGAGTGAGTGTGTGTGAAAGAGGTGTGGCTTGTTTGTTTATATTATTTTTTTTAATTTATATTACTTGCTATTTCTTAAAATTGAGATTATTTCTTTTTTTATGGAAGCTTTACTCTCGTGGAAAATATCAATAGTTGAAAAGTTTTTGTTGTAGCAGTTAAGAGTGTACGACTAATGACAGAATTTTGAGCGTATTTAGAGCGACTTAAAGGGACATGAAATAGGGATGTATCTCTGGTACGCTTCGAAGAAGCATTGAATTGTAGGAATTGAAATTTTAATTCGGGACTATCAATTTTACTACTACAGATGTCATGTAGAAAAATTTGTAGAAGTGTACGTCGGTCCTTTAACTGCAATAAGTTATGGTGATAGCAAGATTCCTCATAACTGCTTTTTTATGTTGAGTACGATAATTTAACGCCTTAATAAATTTACATTGTATTTGCTCTATATTCTCTATATAAGACAAATAATGCGGATTCCAGACATTACAACAATACTCCAAAACACTTCTTACATAAGAATAATACAAAATTTTAATGCATTAAGAATCTAAGAAAGTACGGAACACTCTTAGAACAAATCCTAAATTTTTATACGCTTTTGCAACCATTGTCGTGACATGATTAGACATAAGCATTTTGGAATCAAAAATAACACCAAGATCTTTGGTTTGGTAGATGCGTTCTAAAGGTATGTTATCTAATTTATATCGATATTCAATTTGGTGTCTTTTACGAGTGAAGCTTATTTGATAACATTTTGTTATATTAACACTAATGCGGTTATCATGATAGAAGAAACAAAGCTTTCGTCTTTCTGAAGTTGGTGTGCATCTTCCTCAGCCTTAATATATGCGTAAATATTAGTGTCGTCCGCATACATTAGAAATTTGGAAAATTTAAAACAGTCTACTATATCATACAAGTATGATGCATACAGTAACGGACCCAATATGGACCCTTGAGGGACTCCATATGGGATATCTACGAAATCAGAGCGATGTTCAGCTATTACAACAGCTTGAGATCGGTTACGCAGATAGGACTCCTAGATCCTATTCCTAGCTCCTGGAGTTTACGCAATAGAATAATGTGATCCACGCGATCAAATGCCTTCTCGAAGTCTGTATATATGGCATCGATCTGAAAACCATCATCCATACCCCGAAGAACATCATTAAAAAAATTGATAAATTAGTCGTGGTTGAGCGACCACGAACGAATTCATGCTGTTGTGTAGGATTGTGACGTACAATCAGAGGATATAAATGCTTATGTGCAGCCCTCTCCATCAACTTTGCTCAGTACATTAAGAATAGAAATAGGTCTGTAATTTTCGATGGCTGTTTTGGTTCCTTTTTTATGGATTGGAACGACGTTAGCGGTATTCCAAATTTTAGGAAAATAACCTTCTGCAAAACATCGATTAAAAATTAATGTTATAGGAGCCGCTTCACGCTTTTTCAAAATTGCTTGAAGAATGTAGTTACATCCCACAATGTGGAGTTTACTGTCATGTGGAGTTTTTTTCTGCCACCAGCCTTTTATAAAGAGACATTCCTCTAGTTTTTGAGAATTTTTGTAGTTGGCTGCAGGCACTCACCAACAAATGAGCAGCATGTTGGTTTGTCCCTGTAATAATAAAAAACTACAAAGTGTGCAAACGTCAAGCTTTTTTTCCTATTGATCTCTCGATCTATATAGCCACATCTATTGAGTAATATGTACTACGTACTAGTGAAGCTATTCCATACAAAAAAAGTGCACTACTCTGTATCCGCACATAAGCGGGAAACAAGAGTCGCGCATGTGCATTTGATATAAACGCGCGAAAATTGTCATAATAAATAATTGTCTATTTAGATTGTATGGTTAATCGAGTACATTTTTTTAATTTTTCGTTTATTTTGCATATGTGTTAATTTAATATAAAATTATTATTAGCGCCGCGCCGCACTGCATGAATATCGAAGCCATAATAACAGGTGTACGGATTGCAGTACAGTTTAGTTGAACATAATGAGTTCGAAATGCCAAATCTAGTGCGTAGTACATATATATCTACGGCCACATGAATTACAGATCAAGTGGGCTATTTTCGGCTACACTTAGTTCTACTCTACGTATTCTTTGACGGAAACGAAAAACTCCCAATTTCAAATTAAGAAACCGCATAAAACATTAAAACTTTCCAAGACTTTTCGCTCTACCCTGAATCGTCATAAAGCCTTAGCTTTATTTAATGGAAAAAAATCAAAATTAGACCTTTTTAAATTCGGCTCACGGTCGGCATGAATTTACAAATGTAATTTGAGAAATAACGTAGCGCGGGAGCTGAGTTCTTTGTTACAATTGGTTGCAGTGAAATAATTTCCCTTTTTCCTTTTTATTGTTTAACTTAAAAAATGTGGATTTCCTTGTGATTGATAACCAGCGCACGTAGGATGGAAAAATACAGATTATTTTATGATAAGTTTCAAACTATGTTATCTTTTGTTACTCTGTGGAAAATTTCCACCACAAACATATCAATATCATTTTTCTTCCTACTTTATTTTTGTAAAGATAGCCCTACGCTCAGA